GGGTACCTTCTGTTTAGACACAGGCTTACCTTGTGACTTTAATCATAGCACATGTGGTGGAAAGAATGAGTTATGCTATGGCCGAGGACCTGGGTATGTTGCTTTTTCATTATTTTTTTGAATAGAAGTAAATTGCCAATTGTTTAATTGATTAATAGAAAGTGGATATGGTGTTGACCAAACACTCATCTCTCAATTGCTTGGTAGGTACCCCAATGAGTTTGAAAGTACACGTATTATTGGAGAAAGACAATTCAGGAAAGCAGTGGAACTTTTCAATGGAGCATCTGAAACGTTAAATGGGGAAATTGATTTTCGCCATACATATGTTGATTTTTCTAAACTTAATGTAACAATTCCAAAAGAAAGTGGAGGTACTGTGGTTGTAAAAACATGTCCTGCATCAATGGGGTTTGCATTCGCTGCCGGTACAACTGATGGACCCGGCGCTTTTGATTTCAAACAAGGGGATGATAAGGTATGCATCATTATTTGGTTACAAAGCTCTCATCTTCTTATGCTCTACAACTACAACAACAACAACAACAACATACCCAGTATATTCCCAACTGGTGGGGTCTGGGGGTCAGGTGTACGCATACCTTTCCCTTGTAATTATACAAGGAGGCTGTTTCCGTAGCAACCCAAGGTGCATTGCGTCGTTTGATATATTTTTTTTTTTCTAGAAACTTCACTAATAGAAGAAGCACTAGAATTTAATTGAGCCATTTTGATCTAGTCCATTATTAGCACTATGCTAGGAGAATTGTCAACAATGACTCTTCCAGCTCCATTTGCAATGGACAACTTCTTATGCTCTACATTATTATTATTTTTCTTTTTGGTCTCTCGTCAGGGTAATCCATTTTGGAAACTCGTCCGCAACTTGCTTAAAACTCCAAACAAGGAACAAGTGGACTGTCAACATCCAAAGCCTATTCTGCTTGATACTGGGGAAATGAAACAACCTTATGATTGGGCGGTCAGTTATAATTCTGCCAAAATTGTCTTAACTTTCTCCATAAGTAGACAGCTTGTTGCAGCCTCTTTAAGTAGTTAAATATTTAATTAATCAGTTGCAAGAAACTCGGATCAATTTGTGCCACGTATGACCTGGGATCCTGAGAAGTTTGGTAAGCTGTTGTTACATGTGATATCATGTGCTTTTCGGAAGTATAGAGTTTTCCTTGTCTAATGATAATTTGTAGATTTGATTTTTCTATATTGATTATTTTAGTGACCTAGCTAAGTATGTGCCTCACAATAAAGCACAGCAGGTAAATGCAACATCTCATGTTTTTTCTTCAACACCTCACCAAAGCCTGGTCCTATGTTTTTCGAAATTCTTATCCTGGTCTCCACTTTGTTAGGTTCCACTCATTTCTGTAGTCAAGTCATCAGAATTTTAAAATTTAACATGCTGACTCACAAAAGGTAAAATAGTATAACAATCAATTAAAGAACAATACTTTATTATGAACAATAAAATAAAATTAAATACAACCGGGTAGATTCTCGAACAGCTCTCCTGTTCAGATAAACTTTTCCCAGTCTTTTTTTTTTTTTTTTGGTTATCTCGTTGGAGTCATATGTTAATTAGCATATTAGGCCTGGTTCCATTATCCCTCTTACTAACCCCTGACAACTTTCTGGTGGCTGAGCCCATGTTAGATTTTCATGTTGTTTGGCCTTTCCTTTGCTTTACTTGAATTCTTACACTTACGATTTTTTAGTTTCCTCTTCAGAAGTCAGAACCATTGTTGTCTCAATATGAAGATGCTTGTTGTTCATCAATTTCCAATTTCTTTCGTCTAACGTTCACCTCTACTCTATTTTTCAACTTATGGTGCATTTAATCGGTTTGACCTTTTTTATGGCATTGCAGCCTTCTATACTTCCAGTTCAGATTCTGAGGATAGGGCAGCTTGTTATTCTTAGTGTGCCTGGAGGTACTAGCTGGACTCCCACTCTTCCTTTTACCAAAAATGTCTGTTTTAATATATTTTCTTGTGCTAGATTATTGAACTTAAGAAAAAGCTAGTGCTCGTTCACTGTTTAGTTGATTTTGTATGGCAAGTTCTTGTTCAACACATCATTCCAAGCAACCCGTTAATCTTCAACTGGGAGCGGGTCAGGTTATGGAATTTCTCAAGCACGACTCAAGGGTTTTATATTTGTTGAGAAATATTAAATACTAATCTCTTATTTTCATATTTCAGTTTTTTATCATATTACATCACTTAACTATATTTTTACCTAAGTTCCTTCTTGGGATTAGTGCAGTGCTGTTCAAAATGTAGCTATGCATCTCTTTCTGTTCAGATATATATGAGGAAATTCATTTATATTAATTTTTTTATGTGTTATGATATCATTGTAAAATGCATTTGTAATATCCTGGCTTTTCCAGTAAGTTTGGTCGAGTAATACATGTCCAGAACCTGAGTATTTGCGTACCAAAAAGCTTGTCTATTTTATGACAAAAAGGATGCTAGTAAAAGTTGAAGAATGTTCAAATTTAGGTAGATCTTATTTTTGACTAGATTTCGTCATGTGCCAGAGTTCACCACAATGGCTGGGAGACGACTGAGAGATGCTGTGAAAGAAGCTTTAACGAGTGAAGGTAGCAAAAAGTTTGGTAGCAATATACATGTAGTCATAGCTGGCCTGACAAATACATATTCACAGTATGTGACAACATTCGAAGAGTACCAGATACAGAGATATGAGGTAAGTTTCTTGTTAATGGTAATAGTAATACGAGTATAAAAGCTGCATGGCTTTTTAACTTTTTTGGGTGAAAAGGATATCTTTGCAAAAATTAGACGATAGCCTTGCAGATAATGTGTGGTTTTGGGAGATTCTGACATCATACCTCTCCATATATTTTCTGTTGGGGAAACAAAATATTGAGACTGAAATATTGATGAAAAGTTGCTTAGAACACAGAGGGTTTTGGAGTATGATCAACCGAGTAAAAAACAACCTATAGCCAAATGAATAAGGCCGATCAAAAACCAACATATAACCAAATGAAAGAAAATGTGATTTTTTTTTCTTACTTTCTGACATTTAACTTGACATTCCTCGTCCAAATGGATGAACATCATGTGTCATTTGTTATTCATTTCAACTCTACTTGTTGCCTATAAAATTCATTTTATTCTTCTTCTGACATTTCAACGCCATACTATAGAATTACGCCAAATATCGTGTTCCATTCCAGAGTATGTTAAAACCACACAGTATTTGCAATTAGGAAACAGGCAACATACTTCTCTAGCATGACCATGAATTCCTCGTTCTATTTTTCAGAAATTCTCAGGGTGTGTTTGTGTATAAAATAACTCAACCTATACTCGATTCATATTTTAAATCTAACTCAACTCCAACTCAACCCCACTATCTTCAATTTTATCAATATAATTAACATATCAACTAATTATTCTTATACATCACATCAACTTTAATTAACTATTCATCCACTTACATAATTTTAACTAACCATCACTTATCACATCTCAATCTCTAACCTATGGAACTCTCGATTAACTTCCAGGGCGCCTCCACTCTGTATGGCCCACACACTCTCAGTGGCTACATACAGGAATTCAAGAAGCTTACATCAGCCCTCGTCAGCGGCCAGCC